TGTAGGCATGAAAAATGCAAGATTGGGGAGGTCATGGATTCTTATTCCACAGTTTCAGACAATGGGTGCAGGATTGAAGTCCCTTTGAGGAGGCCCTGAGAAGCCCATTGTATGAAGCTGTGAACATGAATCCTGGTGTATGATGAAAACCCAGGGATGTTGGAGATGCCATGGTGATGGGATGTCTGCCAAGGAGAGCTGGATGCAGGGAGTGGGACTGGTCCAAGAGATAGGTGTATGTTTCAGGCAGAGTCATGTCAGCCTTTTGGGAGTGAGATAATTTACCAGGAGTCCTAGATGCCAGACACTGAGTGAGATCATTAGTGTTCTCCTGCTGGGTTCCAGCCATGCTTTGGGCCAGCTTTGGGCCCATTGCTCTTTCTGGGCAATCGTCTGCTGGAAGTATCCAGTTTGTTTTTGTTTTGTTTTTACAGGTGGCCACAGTTAAGAGATTGCCTTGAGTCTCAGAAGAGACTTCTGGAGTTGGACTAAATGTATTTTGCATCACGAGATGCTCATGAGCCAATTAGCATAAGAGGTATAATGTCCCCCCCATAGGCTAACATTTGGTTCTTAGCTGGTATTACTGTTTGGAAAGTTGAGTTGCGTTTGCCTCAGGAGGTAAAGCCTTGCTGGAGGAAGGACAACACCAGAGGATCATGGACCTTGCATGTTTGCGGGGGGGGGGGGGTTCTTTTGTTTTGCTTTAAGACTTATTATTTTTTTATTTTATGTGTGTGAATGTTTTGCCCGAATGTGAGTTGCATACATGCCTGGTACTCACAAAGGCCAGCAGAGGGTGTTGGATCCCAGGCAGGAGCAGTGAGTGCTCTCAACTGAGGACTCATCTTCAGCCCCAGGATTACACTCAACCCTACTTTCTGCTCTGCCTCTGTTTTTGAACTGCTGATGCAGTGTGACCGCTGGCCTTACCATGCCTTCTCCACCACGATGGGCCAAAAGTCCTCTGGAACTGTGAGCCAACTGAACCTTCCCCCGAAGTCACTTTTAATGGATATTTTATCACAACGACAGAAGAGAAACTAACATGTATACTGCTGGAAGGTATGCAAGCAGAACCCGCTTACACAACATGCCCCAAATTGTCCCAGCTATTGTGAGACTGGGGTAGTCCATGGGTGCTGTGTGGATATTGGGTCAGATTCAGCAGTTTTGAAAGCTCTTATTCTTAGAAAAATGCTAGTTTCTATGTCATCCCTGGAGAGCTGGCAGGGACAAATGCTTTAGACCAAGTGCACTGGGGACAGGGACTAGAGGGCAGCTGTTGTACTGAAGGTCATCAGCTCTGCCTCATAGCACAGTTCTAGGTTTTGCAGGCTCATGGTCAGGTCCTCCCCCACCCTCCTGGGAGGGGACAGTTTATGTGCATCCTAAACAAACCCTTTGCAATGGTTCAGAGAAGCAGCCTTTGGAGGCCTGGAGGATTAGCACATCAAGATGTTCTGTCTGCACAGAGACTAAACGGTGTTCAAAGTTCTTCCTCAAGGCCGTGAGTCTGGTGACAACTGACCTAATGAAACACTAACTAAAGAGCCCAAGGAAGTCCCCAGAGCTGAGGAGTTTCCCTTTCCTCCAGAAGAGAGACTCCCCAGTGTGGTTGTCGATCTGAGCATGCCGAGGACAGTGTCTTCAGTAAGTAGAGCCAGAAGCATTAGGATCACTTATTATTTCCTCTTTTCCCCTCTGCTTTTCCTTCCCTCTCCCTACCCTGCTCCCTCCTTCCCTCATCTTTTCTTTAATACAGGATCTCTTTCTGTAGCTCAAGCTGACTCGAAACTTGTCCTTTCTTCTTTTTATTTATTGTATATTATTGTTATTTTATTCATATTATTTATTTGTATTTTATATTGTTTATATTGTTACAGTGGCCTTTTCTGTGATCAAAAGCAACTTGATGGAAAAAGTGTCTATTTTGGTTACTGCAGTAGTTGGAATGTAATTGACCCCCATAAACTCACAGGGAGTGGCACTATTAGGAGGTGTGGCCTTGTTGGAGGAGGTGTGGCCTTGTTGGAGGAAGTGTGTTACTGTGGGGGTGGACTTTGAGATCTCATATATGCTCAAGCCATGCTGAGCATCTCAGACTACTTCCTGCTGCCTGTAGGTCAAGTTGTAAGAACTCTCAGCTCCTTCTCTAATACCATATCTATCTGCATGCAGCCATGATTCCTGTCATGATGACAATGGACTAAACCTCTGAACTGTAAGCAAGCCACCATGATTAAATGTCTTCCTTTATAAGAGCTTCCATGGGCTGGAGAGATGGCTTAGCTGTTCAGAGCACTGGCTATTCTTCCAAAAGTCCTAAGTTCAATTCCCAGAAATTACATAGTGGCTCACAGCCATCTGTAGTGGGATCTTCTGCCCTCATCTGGCACAGTCATATATGCAGAATGAGTGTTCATACACATAAAATAAATAAATATTTAAAAAAGAAAAGAGTTGCTGTGATCACTTGAGCATGATATCTCTTCACAGCAATAAAAACCCTCAGACAGACATCATGGCAGAGAAGTCAGGAAGGCAGAGATAGTCCAGAAGTAGAGTGATGAATACTCGTGTTCAGTTTGCTCTCTCCTATTTATTCTCTCCATCATTTAGTGTGAGTGTTCTTTCTCAATTAACCCAACCCAGAAATCCTTCGCAGATGTGCCAGAGATTTGTCTCCAAAGCAATTCTAGATCCTGCCAGACTGACAACCAATGTGAAACAGACCTTACCAGCCTTGCCTCTGGAGTACAGCAACTGTATGGATCTCTCTAGAACACAGCCCAGGCTATGCAGCCTGCTCAGGATGCGTCTTACCCGAGCAGAGCTTCCCACAGGGGCCACTATTTGACATATGTCCGACAGAGGGAAAAAGGAGGAGCGTGCTGGACAGTTAGCTGGAGCTGTATCCATCTGTCACATCTGTCACTTCCTCTCACTCTGTTGACAGCAAGGAGCCAAGCAAAGTGACCCTGTGTGCTCTTTCAGAGGTCTGCCTCCCACATCTGTTTCTCTAGTCTTTAAACTTCCTGATGCCGAGAACTCATAAACTGAACCCAAGACTGTATTCTGGTTCCATTCCCAGGTAGCGTTCTGGAGTGATTACGGTCTCCAGAATCAAGCTTCCCTCAAATTTCCACAAAATTGTGACACCCTAACCCCAGAACAAATGATTCACTAGAGGGGCCTATTACAACTTGACAAAGCAGACTCAGAGATTTTTCTGCCCATTTTAGACAGCTCTCTGTTGTGGAATAGCATGTTAACTAGGCAAAGATGTGTTACCTTTGTTTATGCTATGGAATATTACTTTATGTGAAGGTGTGTTACCTTTGTTTATGCTGCATTTATTTAAAAATGTAAGGATGCATGTTTAAGTATGTAAAGATGTGCTGCATTTGTTTCGCCTTGCCTGTCTAAGGCAGTTGATTGGTCTAATAAAAAGTTGAATGGCCAACAGCTCGGCAGAAGAGGGATGGTGGGGCTGGTAGGCAGAGAGAATCAGTAGGAGGAGAGAGAGGAGGAAGAGAGAAGAGAAAAAGAGAGGGACATGTGCAGGGCCAGAAGCCAGGTAGGCACCAGCCAGCTAGTCACAAGAAGAAGGGAAAGTAAGATGTACAGAAGGGAAGAGCTAAAAAGCCCCGAGGCAAAATGTAGATGAAGAGAATCAAGATAAGTTATAAGAGCTAGCAAGAAACAAACATAAGATAAGGCCAAGCATTCATAACTAATAAGAAGACTCCGTGTCATGATTTGGGACCTGGTTGGTGGCCCAAAAGAAAAAACCTGCTTCAGCTCTTGTCCCATGTGTCCCCAAAGAAAAAACCCTGGGAGGTCAGGGTCCTGTAACAATCATAAGACATTGGTTTACTGGCTGGAGCAGATTTCAGAAACCACATTCACTCCCGAGAGAGAAAAGTCACGGGGTACCTGTCTGTTCCCCCCAATTTCAAGTCTTTCTTTTCGAGTAGGGGGTTGCTTGCTAAAAATATCTCTTAATTCTTCCTGTTTTAAGACCCCCCCCACACACACACACAACAACAACCGGAACAACAGTTAAACAACAGTTCCTTTCAAAACCTCATCCATGTGATGAGTTCCTGTTCTCTTTATTGCCTGGAACTTCTCTGCAGCCCCTGACCCCCGAAAGGGGAATCTGTCTCCTTGTTTGTTTCTAGGTCAAAAGCACAGTCTGATTATTACGGGTGTTTTCTTCCCCTCACCGCACTGAATTGGGAGGCAATTTCTTCAGGAGGGTGACCAACTCAGTCTCACGTCTGCACTCAGATCATGTGCCTTTGGTAGGAACCTTTAACCAGGGTCTAGAACAGGCTCCTGCCGTCATCTGGAGGCCAAAGCCTCTGCTGACTCCTTTCGCTTTTCCAGGTTCTGTGGGCAGCTAGCTCACTGTGGTGGTCTGTGAGGCAACAGACTAACAGACTGTAGGAACCGCCATAAAAGTGTTTAAATTCTGGGCTGAGCTAAGGCCAAACACTGGCCTCTAGTGACCTTTGCAGGCTACTAACAGCAGAGTCCTTTTATGTGCCTCGTGTTTATCGGGCGGATAACCCAGACCCAAGTCCGTGCAGAAGCCTTCCCCTCTAGAACAATCCAGGCATCTGCCTGTGTGGGTGCTTCATGAAGTGTCCCGATCGAGAAGGGGCACCAGGATTTGCAGAGTGGAACTAGTCCCCTGGTCGCTTTGTAGCTTCGGAGTCCAAAGAGCGCCGGTAAGTCACGCGTCGGCACTCCACGTCCACGCAAGGTTGCTGTACTCTGTCCCCGCAAAGCCTGCGGAGTGGTGGGCCCGGAGTCGGAGGCGCTGCAGGCAGGTGCGGGGGCCGGTCCGGCGCCGGGGAGGAGCCCTGCAGAGGGGCGTCGCGCGCGGCCGCGGGCTGCGGGGGGCGGGGAGGCGGCGCGGGGCGGGGCGCAGGCGGCGGAGCCCCGGCATTGCGCGTCCCGCGCCGGCGCTGCACTCGAGCGGTGGCCACCAACCGCGTCGCCAACTCGGGGCCGAAACTTCCCGGGGTCCTGAGCTCCTGGCCGGTGGCGGCGCCCGGACGGACGGCGGGGACCCCGCGTCTCCCGGTGCCCCGAGCCCGCGCAGCCTGCGGCCGAGCCCGAGCTTCGGGCGCCCAGCGCCCATCAGGGCACACCGGGCACTCCGGGCGGGCAGGCTCCGGCCGCCGATGAGGAGTACGCGGCGGCTGCGCGAGCGGCCCGTGCGCTGAGCCGAGGCTACCCCGCCCCGCGGCAGACCCGACGCCGCAGCCCCCGCAGGTAAGCTCGGGAGTCGGCCCCGCGCCGGCCGAGAACGCTGCACGGCCAGGTGGCGGGAAAGGGGCGCGCGGCGACCGACACCGCGGGCTGCTGCGAACAAAGCTGGGGCCGCGCGCGGGTGCCTGGCGCGGGCAGGTGGGGCGCGGGCGTCCAGGGGCTTCGCGCTCGTTCGGCGTGTGGCCGCGAGAGGGGCTGGCACCCGGGGAGCCGCGCGTCTCTTCTGCGAAGCGTGAGGCCGGAGCTGCTGTGCCTTTCCCGGCTTGGCGGGACCCAGCTGCAGTTTTCCGTGCGACTGTAGGGCTCGGAGTGTCTCCGACAGGTACCACCAAGGGGTAACTTTAGTCTCAGTTCCTGCGGCAGGCCAGAGCGGGTCGTGTCCTGGAGATGTGGTGCTGTCTGGTTCTCGATTGCTCCTTTGCATCTTTCTCTCCATCCTCACGGGGCGCCTCCGCGGGTATTCGGGCCAGACTCAACTTTCTTGTGTGTTGCATCCTTACAAATCATTATTGGACACTGCTCACTTTGCTTCTAGAACGATCGATTCTGTTTTGCAGGCAGAGAAACTGAGGTGGCCCAGACCCAGGAAGAGTTACTCAGAGAGTTGATGGGGGAGGAAGCGTTCACCCGCCACTTTACCAATGTCTTTCTTCTCTGCTTTTGCTACCAGGCCACGTTGGCAAAGCTCTCAGCGGTTGCCGTCCTGGGCAGTTTCAGTCTGATACCTGGGAGAAAAAGGCCCAGGGTCAAGTTACCAGTCTCCTGAACTGGCTCAGACCACCTTGGAGCCCAGGCCACCCATTTGCCAGAACTGTGCCCATGCTGTCAGTATAAGAGCAGCGGAGATAGCAGGCAGGCAGAGGCTCACTCCTTTCCAGATACCAGCCCTCGGGCAGGCACATGTGGAAGCTAGGGTTCCTCTTTTGTGGCTGGCCAGGTGGCACAGGGCTCCTGGAGTGGGAGTACATGCTCAAGAAGTTGGAGGACTTTCCCCTGCACCCCTGCTGCTGTGTGGATCCATATGGAGAGCATGCTTATTTATCAAAGATGAGACCCAGATCTCAGGTACCGATATCAGTCCGGCAGCCACAGGCCTAGCCTAGTAAACCACCTTGGTGTAAGGCTGGATTTTCTCTTATTTCAAAATAGTGCCACGGCTCTCTTTTGACACGCGATTGGTAGTTATAAATAGCAATGCCCAGAGACCCTGAGGGCCAGTGTGAGCAGGGCCGCCATGGGTCTTCATGGGATGTGAAGGACAGGAGCCGGAGAAAGGAGATGTACCTGAAGGCAGGGCTCCTAACCAACAGGTGCAAGTGCTTAACACCATGAGGGACCGTGGGAGAACTTTGAGCTTTTGTTTTGTTCTATGGGTTTCCCTATATAGCCCTGGCTTTCTTGGAACTAGCTCTGTAGAACAGGCTGACCTCAAACTGAGAGATCTGCCTGCTTCTGCCTCCCCAGGGCTGGGATTAAAGGGGGGAATGCCTCTATGCCCAGTCCTCTTTATGGTTTTTTCCTCTCCCGTTCTCTCCCTAAAGTCAGAGGCTTTGTGACACAGTATTGGGCTCTGCTTGCCTAGGGAGCCCATCCAGGCGCGGAGGAGCTGGCAGCTCTTTCCCATCTGTGGGATTCCTGATTTCCCAGGTTCAGATCTTCTGAGTGTTTAAGTATGTGAATGATGGTGTTTGCTCAGCGTGTTTTAAACCAGCTACCCCCTTAGTGTGTGCGCGTAGTTGTCACACCTTCCAGGGTGTCTTATTTGCTTAAACACTTTCTGTCTAGAAAGGATAAAAACTAAAGAGTCAGACTGGGGGTGTAGCTCAGTGCTAGAGTGTGTGCTTGCTGTGTTTCAGGCCCTGAGTCCCATCCCTGGAACCACACACACCCACACCCACACACACACACACACACACACACACACACACACACACACACACAGACAGAGAGAGACAGAGAGACAGAGAGAGAGGATATTCCCATAATTGCTGGTAGACATATTCTGTGAAAAGAAAACTAGATCGTGGACTGCTCTTCACCTGAGTTATTTCATCTCTTGGCCCAGTAGCAACTGAAAGGTTTTGTTTGCTTGTTTGCGGTGCTGGGGATGGGACCCAGGGCCATGAACATGCCAGGCAGGCACTCCATGTCTGAACTCATTTCCAGCCCAAACAGGTTTTCAAATGATTCTGTTGTTTGTTCTTTAAAGGGGAGGCCATGACTTCTAGGGTGGCTCTGGATTGCTATATTCTGACTTCTATAGTGCAGCGGGAGCAGTCCACAATCCTGGGTTGCTCTCCTGGTTCCTATCGGGTGTCTCCCTAGGACACGTCCTCGAATCCACCACTCCACACCTCAGTACAGACCTCGGGGGCTCCGTGTATTGTATTTCAGGTCTCTTGAGACTTGGAACAGCTGTGGATATGGAAATCCCTGTGTGGTGAGAGTGCTGGCAGCCACATTTCCAGGCGTCCGAGGCTGGTTTCTGTTAAGCATTTTCAGACTGTATCGGGAGTCCAGAGAATCCAGGCCATAGAGATGGTGATTAGCACGGAGGCCTGCACCTCTCTCTGAGGCACTCCGCCTTGCTTCTCCCAGCACCATGGTAGGGTCCCAGAAACGAACCTGTTGTGGATTGAGTTCTGGATGGGTCTTTTCCTCAGCAAGAAACACCCGGGCACCAGAAAGCAGGTGACTGCCCTGCTCTTCCCAAGCCATCGCCACCCCTGGGCAGCTGTTTACCTGGCTAAATTTAAACCTCCGCCCTCTGAATCCCAGTCTGACCCCCCGGATCACTGGCTGCTGTGACCACTGGCCGACTGCTGTGGCTAGATTTCCCAACTTGGCCCCTGTGGTTACAGCCTGGGCTTTTGTGCTGTGTGAGTCCTCTTTCAGGCTGTCTAAAGTTGGTCCCTCTCCTCCCTGCTTCTCCACCCCTGTGGCTTTCTTCTCAGCCGGTCTCCGCCGGCTGATTTAGAACCTGTGTCAGTGCTGGTGGGAGCCTCGCCCTGACACCCTTCCAGATGCCGTGCACGCAAGTTTCAGGCGAGCTGCTCACAGGCTGCTCTACTGCAAGCCCTCAGGCCACTGACTGTAAGCCATACCCAGCCCCTGTCAGGGTCCGGGGTCCCCTCACTCACTATGGTGCTGGCAGTGCTACAACCACTAAAAGGTGTTAAAGAGGCATTTTTCTGAGTTTGGCACCCCCAAACTTCAAATCCCAACGAATCCCATGGACCCTGACCTTTGGGTCCTTGTTTTTCCTTGGCCTTTTGCCCTCGTTTCTGTTTTGGAGCTGGGATGTACTTTATACTTTCTCTAAAGCAGATCATCTTAAAGGCCCCTTCAGCTCTGACCCGTTTCTCTATACAGCTTTGTCGGTTTGTGAACATTACAGTGCTGTGGCCCTGGCCTGGGTGAGAGGCACGCCTGTGAGAGTGCGGAGGTGTGTGTGCCCCTGGAGGTGTGTGTGCCCCTGGAGGTGTGCGCCCCTGGAGGTGTGTGCGCCCCTGGAGGTGTGTGCGTCCCTGGAGGTGTGCGCCCCTGGAGGTGTGCGCCCCTGGAGGTGTGTGCGCCCCTGGAGGTGTGTGCGCCCCTGGAGGTGTGTGCGACCCTGGAGGTGTGTGCGCCCCTGGAGGTGTGCGCCCCTGGAGGTGTGTGCGCCCCTGGAGGTGTGTGCGCCCCTGGAGGTGTGCGCCCCTGGAGGTGTGTGCGACCCTGGAGGTGTGTGCGTCCCTGGAGGTGTGCGCCCCTGGAGGTGTGCGCCCCTGGAGGTGTGTGCGCCCCTGGAGGTGTGTGCGCCCCTGGAGGTGTGTGCGACCCTGGAGGTGTGTGCGCCCCTGGAGGTGTGCGCCCCTGGAGGTGTGTGCACCCCTGGAGGTGTGTGCGTCCCTGGAGGTGTGTGCGCCCCTGGAGGTGTGCGCCCCTGGAGGTGTGTGCGTCCCTGGAGGTGTGTGCGCCCCTGGAGGTGTGTGCGCCCCTGGAGGTGTGCGCCCCTGGAGGTGTGCGCCCCTGGAGGTGTGTGCGTCCCTGGAGGTGTGTGCGTCCCTGGAGGTGTGTGTGCCCCTGGAGGTGTGCGCCCCTGGAGGTGTGTGCGCCCCTGGAGGTGTGCGTCCCTGGAGGTGTGCGTCCCTGGAGGTGTGTGTGCCCCTGGAGGTGTGCGCCCCTGGAGGTGTGTGCGCCCCTGGAGGTGTGCGCCCCTGGAGGTGTGTGTGCCCCTGGAGGTGTGCGCCCCTGGAGGTGTGTGCGCCCCCGGAGGTGTGTGCGCCCCCGGAGGTGTGCGTCCCTGGAGGTGTGTGCGCCCCTGGAGGTGTGCGCCCCTGGAGGTGAGCAAGGGGGTGCAGAGATGAAGCCCGGGCCTTGTCCTTTCACAGTTACTGTTCCACAAACCTGGTCTCATGGGCAAGTTTTGTGGTCACACCTCCAGAGACCTGGATAGGTCTCCTGGCCCACCCTAGCAGCCATCTAAGACTATGACAAGTACCTGTTTTGTTGCTATTCTTTGTTTTGCAATTTAGGCACTTAATTAGGGGGTTTGAAGCTTAACCGACAAGTTAAAGCATTTGTCTTTGAGTTCACCCTTTGAAAATTTTCTTCTCAATAGCTTCCTTGAACCCAGAGTACAAACTCCTAAGCGGAAGTCCTTGTCCGTGTGATTCATAAGCTCAGAGTGCCTCTAGCCAGGCCTGTGGGCAGTGACTGAGTTTGGGTTAGAAAAGCCAGTGGCTCCGAAAGTTGACTCACTAGCTGTACACTCCCCAGCTCACCGCCAATTTATCTGCAGTTGTCAAGTTAAAGAGTTGCCGTGAGTCCTGTTTTGGGGGGGGGGGTGTTAATAAATCTTTACTCAGAACTGAACGTCATAAAGCTGTGTGGCTGGGCTGGTGGTGGTCCTGATGTTGCTGATCCTCACTGCACTTGCTCACATGGTGAGGAAGCCCAGAGCGCAAAGTGGGAAGCGCACAGCAGGTGTGCCTCTGGGCTGGGTCCTCCTGCCTCCCTGT